ATTGTTGGGGGGGGTTGCACCACTACATACTACATATATTGTATTAAATCTTTCCCAAGATCCACATTGAATTAAATACACATGTAATTGGGTTTGTAGTTTTTATCGATACTGCATATTATTATTCTATTCACATTGTACTTTCTCCTTAGAGTTGAATTAAATACACATGTATTCATTGAATAATTAGGTGTGTAATTTTTGTCAGTAGTGTCCATGGGTAGATCTACCTTTCTCATTTGCTTACACTAAAATCAATGGCCGTCAGGATCTTAGCCCAGATTACTGGGTTGGAATCCAGTTTTGTAGTTTTTCTGTTGCTGTTCTTGTGTTATTGCTGTTTCTTTTAATTTCTTTTTTGTTAGTAATATAGAGTTCATATTTCTCTACATGAATTCGAAATCTGTTAAAATCCGTCGATATTTTGCCCAAAATTATTTTACAATTTGACCCAGGGCCTAAAACAATAAACTCGGAGCATGAGCACATGTATTTATGTTTTACTCCCCACCCCCTCTCTCTCCCCTCTCTCTCCCCTCTCTCCCCCTATCTCTGTCTGTCTCTTTGTTTTTCTCTCGGTGTCTCTCTCTGTCCCACCCCCCTCTTCCCCCTCTCTCCCCCTCTCTCGGTCTTTCATTTGGAACACCCTTAACACCTGTTTTATTTCCTCGTTCACCTTTCAGGGCGCCCAGGTATCGCGACTGGAGAAAGCAGACATCTTGGAGATGACGGTCAAGTACTTACGCCACGTCCAGAGCCAGAGCGTCAGAGCTGTGGTCAAACTAGAGCCAGAAGTGGCCGCCAAATTCCAGGCAGGTTACACAGAGTGCGCCGCAGAGGTCATCAGGTACATGGACTCGGTCACCGGCGTGACGTCAGACGTGAGGTCAAGGTTGGAGAGCCACCTGGTTGAGAGACTTAGGGGGTCAGTGAGTGCACCAGCTGCCGCCGCTGCGCCCACCTCTGCTGGCGCTGCTGGTATCACTGCTGCTGTTCCTATGTCCCACTCTTCCATGTCTGCAACACGCCAGCACAACCAGACCGTCAGACTGGCGCCGGTCTACGCAGGAGACGCCATGATGGGGAACGCGATGACGTCACACCATGCCGTGAATCACATGACAGGGGGAAGTGATGAATCCTCTACGCATTACCAAACAGCTGTTGATCTGGCCAATATGGCTGCCATGGTCACAGCTAAAGACATCAATGCAGCTTCTTCATCATCGGTTCAACCATTGAACGGTGGAAGCCAGTGTGTCAAACAAGAACGGACTTCCTCGACTTCGTGTACCTTTTCTAAAGCACAATGCACATCCCCCCAAAAACAGCATCACGACCAGATGACGACGTTCTCAGACCAACAGACAGACAGCTATGGTTCGAGATCCCATAGTATACCATCTCCGGAAAATGTCGGTTATCAGGGGATTCCGACTCCGGAATCGGCTTACGACGACTACTCCCCGTCCCCATCTCCTGTACACAACAAACGTCGACGTCACACAAGCACCAGCAGTACAGAGTCCTTGACCTTCAGAAGGTCACCAGATTCCGAAGTCTTCACTGACTGCCGAGGTGGTCAAAATGACAGGAACAATAATTACGTCAGTGATCCCAATAACAATTATCTCAGCCACAACTACAACAATGACAACAATAACAATAATAACTGCGGCAACAACACAACAACAAATGTCTGCCGGAATGCTGACCAGCCTGTCGATTTGAACATCCAACACTTCAACAGCAGTGACAATAATAGCAGAAACAACAACAACAACAACAACAACAACAACAACAACAACAACAACGACAACAACAACAATAATGACTTCAGCAGCAACAATAAAAGCAACAACAACAGCAATACAAATGGTAGCATTGTTTTGAGAAATTGTAACAACGACAACAGATACGACGGTTATAATTCGAACACTCTGACCACCTACCAGAATCCCCTCCACATCTACATACCTGACAGTCCTCCTTTATCTACATCTCCCTCCCCTCCGATCCTGCAACCGACCATCCCCATCTCCACGACCCACATCCCCGCCCAAAACGTAGGCCCCACCCCCACGCCCACATACAGCGCCTCCCACTCCCACCATCGCCCACTGGTTCACAACCAAGACCAGGACGGACCTCCCACCATTTTGTACGGCCTGCAGTATCCGGGGGAGAATGTTCGTAATATGATGACGTCATCCTCTACTTTTTCATCCACCGCAACCTTTGTTGACCCATCCTCGCGGTCTTCTGCGCTCTCAACAACAAACCAGATGGACCCCCGTTGGAATGCTGCCGGACACTCACACTCTCACGCCCACCAGAACTCCGACCGACGACCCTGTGCCGGTCTCGCTCGCACTTCCATGACCGCGAGCCTGTCTGACCACAGCAACCTTCACCCTCACCCCCACACCCACCCTCCCCACATTCCCCGTGAGGGATATCTCGCCCGGGAAGCAAATAACTCTCGAGGTTTCCCGCGCGCTGACTGTTTCAGTAACGGCCGAATAAGCTCGAGTCAAGGCCGAGGCAGTTACACAGAAGAAGAAAACATGGACACTCACGGTTTGCCCCCGACCCCGTCACCCCCGATGCTCACCAGAGAAGAACCGGACCAAGAAACGTCACCAATGTCACGTGGTTATGTTGATGATAAAAATAGAAACTGCAACAATAACAATACAGCTCCCTGTTATGCTCGAAACCCATGTGATTCACATAGCGTTAATTTGGTTAACTGTAACAACAGCGAAAGCGTTCTACAGTTTTATTCTCAACAGCAGCAGTGCCAGAGATATAATAACAACAATAATAACATTGCTTGTCCAAACTTAGAGACAACACCCTCTCCCCGTTCCACTAACACCTGTTTTGCTCCCTCTTTTTCATCATCCTCCTCCTCACTCTCCTCATCAACCTACTCATCAAATCACTACTCATCCCTTCAACAGTCCCGAGACACGCCGCCACGTGGTCCCCACACCCGCCTCTGTCCCTCTCAAAGCGAGGGGGAATTCCCTCCCACTCACACGCCCTCTTCCCCTGCCTCCGCCAACACCCCAGCCCACGGTCATCTCCCCAGAGACGCTGCCGAGTCACGCTTGAGCGATGACAGCAGCGCGCACGCCACCGGACACTCCCGTCTAAAGGCCAGCAGCCCTTTGTTAACAACGTCCCCGCTGACCTTGAAGAAGCGGCTCTTGTTTGGCCAGAGGTCGGAGGTCAGTGGGTATAGTAGTAGCAGGGGATCCTCGGCCGACGCGACACAGGCACGCGTCCTCGCGGGGGAAGAGAGGAGGAAAAAGAACAACGAAGACGACGAGGAGGCGCTTGCTAGGGAAGGACACCCGCCAACGTCCCACCACA